TTCAGCACATCTGACTGTGGTGATCATATTTTATGGTACCATCTTCTTCATGTATGCCAAGCCCAAGTCTCAAGAGTTTCCTGGGGACGACAAGTTGCAAACTTCAGACAAGCTCATTTCTCTGTTTTATGGGGTAGTGACCCCCATGCTAAATCCTATAATCTATAGCTTGAGGAATAAGGATGTAAAAATTGCTGTAAAATATCTGCTAAACCAAAAAGCTATTCAGTAAGTATATCCTACACAGAAAATGTAGGTCTTTTCATAACAGGCACAGAGATGGACTCATAGGTCAATTAGTTAAAACCTTCTTTGGAGAAACTATGGTTAAGGAGAGATATTTTTATTCTTCCCCTTCCCTAGCATTACTCAGCTAGAATTACTGAGAACTATAGTTTGCTTTAAACTCAGCTTCCAAAATGTCCTGGTCTAGATTCCACAAGCATGGTGAATTCCATTAGAATCTCATCTCTGGTGATATCTGGAATGAGTGTTTCTGGTGTCGTGTGTAGAAACACAGTGGAAAACATCACACGTAAGCCTTAGAAATAGGTAAGAGTAAAATATCTGCAATTTCACAAACTACCTAAGTGACATTGGATAGACGATTCTTTGTAAGCCATACTTACCTTACCTTGGAATAAGGAAATACGTAAAGCCAGGTTTTAGTGTCATTTAAAGTTTCAATAACTGGAGAAAGCACCTGGCATAGCACTACTTCACAGTGTCTAGAATTTCAGAATTGAAGCTAAGTCTCCAAATTGATGACTAAAAGTGACTACTGAGCACCTCTTTTACCATAAGCTAATAATTACAAGAGCCAAAATCTCCTCCTAGAAGTCACTCTGTTAATATCTTTGCCTTTCCCCTTAAAGCTATATAAAGCGAAGCTCAGGAGAGAGGAAGAAATAACTGAGGGAATTTTCTACCTTATGGTGAGTCCACAATGGGTTTTGGGCGACATTTCACAACAGTCACTGTGAAAGAATGGCAAAATTGTTTTTCCAATCCAAGTTTGGGGATGCTGCAAAAGAGCCCCTTAAGGTTTTGGGTGCCTACAAAGAAATAGAGTCTGGCTTCCTACTTGAAGAGGGGAGACCTGCAGAGTTCTCTAGGCTGCAGACTAGCAGAGGAGCTGGTCTAGAAAGGAGAGGAAGGTTAGTATTCTATGCCAAATAAAACAGAAATGTTTCAAATCTGCCTGAGGTGTTCTTCTGGGCTCAGAAAGAGTGGTAAAAACAATGATTAGGAAAATAAAATCCATTCTTTCATTTTCCAATGAGTTGAAATTCTTTATTAAGTCTATTATGTTCTTTTTTTCTTTTTTCTTTTTCTGTTGATTCCTTGTCTAGAAGGCCATTGCCGAGCATAGAGTATCTTTGAGCCACACCATCTGTCTTTTCTGTAATCTCTTAGCCCATGTGATAACTGGGCTTTGACTTTATTTCCTACTCAACATTCCTCTTTATTTTGTTTTGGAGCCACACTGTAACCCCATATCTCCTACTCAGAGGCTTCGTTCTTTGCCATTCCACTTCCTTCGGTTGACCCAGGTTTCTACCTAAATGATCTGGTCACTAAATTCAGCTATTCTGCCACTGCCCTACCAGGAATGAAGGGTTGTTACTGTGGAAAATCTCCAGCTGTTGCTCTCTCTTCTGTGTTGGAACATCAGTGTTGCTTTTGGTTCTGTTCAGAAAGGCATGCTCCAGACCCTGTGGGTAATGCCTTTTGAATTTCTGGCATTTCTCCTCCTTTCCCCCATTAGTGGCCCTGCATTTGTACCTGATCCTTGTTTAATTCTCTTTCAGTTTCGATATGGGACAACAAGGGTTTAGGCATGCAGAAATGTTATTTGTATGATTTTAACCAACTCCTTAGCAGCTTAATTTTTAGTTTTTTTTTTCTCACACAATATCAAGGTTGTTAGCATCTTATATGTAGGCTTATATCAAGTTGAACCTTTCATTTAATAAAATATTCCACAGGTACATAAAAATGGTACAAAAGGGCTTTTATAAAAACAAGAAGGATCATGTTAATCAATGATCAGAAAATTAATAGATTCAATAATACATTGCCCTCCTTGGAAAATCAGAAAATTTCCAAGAAATTGTTAGGTGTATTATTTTCTGATAATAAATATTTTTAAATTTAAAAAAAACTATGTAAAAATATTTTAAAAATATTGTCTATATAGTCATCTCCCAAAGATATTGTCTTCGAGATTTCTCCTAGTCATTAGGAGTCATACATTCACCATGTTTTTACTTTGATTTATCACTTTAATTTACTATGAACAGTTGAGGGTAAAGTTTGTTTTTGTTTTGTTTTGTTGTTTTGTTTTGATGTACAATACCTATGGTTTCACAGGTGAAGTTTGCCTTCTCCAGTTAACCAGTGGGACAGTGCCAGTGAGGACTGTGAGCCATGAGAAGGGCACATGAATCATGTAAAAAACATTATTTCTCAGGCCAGTGAATTGTTACCATGAGATAACACAGGCTGTGTATTAACTGATTTTCTAAATTTCAAAGGCGGCCAGATTTTAAAGTTAAACATTTCAACACTTTCCCAGAGTTGGATATTTTGAAGAACACATGAAGCTTCAGAGTGTAACTCATGTATGGCTAAAGCCTCCCTGTTGAGGTATAGGATATGGTGCTGCAGGAGGAAGAAATTTCCGGCCAAAAAGAAGAGTTCTGAAACCTCAGTTGTACCTCCCTGGCTAATACTGAGCAAGTGTCTCTTAGAACATTTCAGTCAGTGTTGGTTTATACACACAGCACGCTGCCATTAACTGCTTATTGAGTTTGAGTATGTATTTTGTACTCCAAAAGTTCATTTCCTCAAGATACTATAATACAGATAGTAGTAACCTTCAAATATACTTGAGAGTATTCCAAAGAGCTTCCCATAGGCTCCATTTATATCAACAATCATTTTATTTTCTTCCCACTTTTTTTTTCAGTTTCAGGTGAAGTTTGGCATCTTTATTTTTTTATTTTATTTTTTATTTTTAAAAATTTATATCCAAATTAGTTAGCGTATAGTGCAACAATGATTTCAGGAGTAGATTCCTTAGTGCCCCTTAGCCATCCCCCCTTCCACAACCCCT